CATTTTGCGATATTACAAAGAATTAGACAAACACAGAAATAAAACGATTTCCAACTGCAGTGAATCACTTGCGAACTCAAAGGTGCGCTGATCACTGTCTGTATTTTTCTTTTAATTATGTTGATTGAGACGATTTTACATTATAGTTATAGCTAACAAAAAACTACACTGCAAATGAAACATCTTAAATGCTGTATTGCATTTGAACATGGTCTTTGGTTATTCCTGTAAAAACACTATATTTTGAAAATGAACTAACAATCAACAAAATACTTGCATAGAAACAATGTGCGAATTCCTATAAAAACAAGAAAAGAAGAAACCAAATGAAACTACCTGTAACTGACTTAAATAAAAAATTATTACAAATCTTTAGAAAATCGAGAAAAATGTTGCTTTATGGCATCATCTTTGTCGGGTCTTTCATATCCACTGCATAGATTTGGTGGAGGTTTCATCTCATCAGAATCACTGCTGTTGACTTCAACTACATTGTATAGCTCTTCATACAACATATCAATATAGTCTGTGAAAAAAAGATCAGGGGTTTACTGTTAAAAAAAATTGAGAGGGTAGAACTATTGTGCAAAATATTTGTTTTTCTTTTACTTAGTGTTTTTTGTGTATGTAGAACAGCATTCTTTTAACAAAAGGGTTGATCATTTTGAATTTATTCTGCATAAAAAATTATATACATCAAGTTTCAATGAAATTTGTTTATCCAAACTAAGATAAGGTTATAAAAACAGAAATGCTTGTTTTATGTGTTTTTAACATTACAATTATCGCAACCATTCAACCATGCTAAATGTAAGTGTATTAAGTTTGAACATAATTTACAGCTATATTGGAAATATTTCCTAATCTACAAGTTGCATTGTTTTTATTTCTTCAAAACTGCTACTAAAAGATTGTGAATTGCTTGGTGAAATTCAAAACTCAATGTTAACTGCTCATGTAATAGTGTAGGGACATGTGACTATGAAACTTAAAAATATATATTTTACACTACCTGGTTCAAACCATTCTCTTTGTTCCAATGGCGATAGGGGAGCATGCATGCATTCTGGGAATATGTCACCATGACCTGTGTGAACATTCTGTATATGGTTGACAATTGATTCCCACTTAGCTAGTATTACATGTAACTCTCCTACACCATCACTTGAGTTTGCACACCAATATAGATGGTTAACAATGCTTCAACTCCATTTTCTCAGAAAACCAAAAGACTTCCTCTTTGCCAGTGTTGTGATTTTCTTTGTAATTCCTGCCACATATCGGATAGAAAACACAGATACAGACATTTATGATTTGCAACATCTAGGATCATACCGTATTTGTACTATTAGTAGCAATTAATATTTTACTAATTCAGTATACAAATGTAGGTTTATATGTGAATTCAGCTCAGAAATGTGATGAAGAATATACGTAAATGAATATACTCAATTATAAAATGCAGAACAAACCTTTCACTACATGCCAAACATCAAAAAAAATGTTTGGCATCCCTAAATACATCACAAGATTCTGCCAACCACTTTTGAATTTGCATGTGTCTGTCTGTAACAATTGCAGTGACATGTATCCTCCAGTTAGCCAGTTTTGCTAAACATCGCTTCAACCCCTCCAACTCCATGTGGTATGACCCACCTACTTCATTACTCTGAAATATAATCCAGATAACCATGTTATCAATTGTTCAGTCTATTATAAAAATCAACAGTGAAGTTCAATTTATGGATTGATACTACTACATTTTTAAATTAAATAGTCAAAAACTAATTAATCCAAATAAATTTTTAGGATATTTTTCTTTTATACAACTAAGTGCTAGTCAAAAAACATTGAAGTAATTATAGCTATTTTGCATGGAAATTTATTAATTTAGGTTCATTTGCATAAAATCAAATTTTATTTATTCCTAAAAATATGGGTAGGGTAGGACTTGATATTTTATTGGTTCCAATTGTGTTACCTACCTGAACTAATTCCATTGCAATTATCTTGTTTTCTTTCAAATCCATTAGTGTATAGCTACCATATTTAGCAGAATGCCCCATACTATCACATCTCGCATCACCACCAATAATAAGCTTCTCTGTTGATGTTTCTTTAATTGTTTGGAGACGAGAAAGATGACTCTGCCAAACATTACTTATAGTTTTAAGGAGATACTGCTTTTGGTATCTAAAATACGTTGAAGGGTTGTATGTACAGACACCCAAAGAATTCAGCATTCTCAGGGTTTTGGTTGGCAATGAACCAGTAAATAATATTGAGGCTGATAAAAGTAAATTGCCTAAAGGAATTTGTCCAATATAAGGCTGACTATGCCAAATACGCTTTTTTTGGCAGACTTTACAAAACTGTTCATTTTTTAACAATGTGCCTTGAACATTAAAAACAATTGAACATTTTCCAAATGATAAACAAAAAATGCAAAAATTAAATAACTGTAAAAGACAAGACTCAAAAATAATAAATTTTCTCTCCATATTTGGTAATTGGTATGACATGTCAGCATCTCTGAAAATGAAATAAACAAGAATTAAAACATAAAATGCCTTCAGTTTGTTAAAAAAAAAGTTGTAATTTATGATTACTGACTTCAGAAACACTGCTTAAACATTGAACAATAATATTTTGGAAAATACTGTATTTGTATCTTCTTTACATACATGTTTGTATTGTTAAAAAGTGTGCATTAAAACACTTAGTTGTACTGACAATGAAGCAAAATGTTATTTAAGAAATAATCCTATTATAATACCTCATTGGTTGAAAATGACTTCATTATAGTAGAGGAACATTGTGGGACCCCTCCACATACACACAAATCTGTCCATGGCATGTTACTTGCTTCACTTGTTAATCACTAATTAGTATAAGAAAAAAAAAATGTTACTTACTCATCACTTTCATCCTCAACTGAATCATCCTCATAATTTTCAGATTCATCTGTTTCGGTCTCTGGTATCACAGGGGCCTGACGATCTATTCGTTTCAATGCATGGACGTCTATGGGACTGAGCGACTATGTCCCGGTACAGGACCTTGTCCTCGCTCAAAATAATAGAAATTATAGAATTAAAACAGTTTAGTAATGTAAAGCAAGCATATGTTATTAAATTTAATCATCACGCTCCGAAACCACGAAAATCACTAATACTTGTTTCTGGCCGATCAGCTTGCACTATATATAAGACAAGGGAGGAAACAAAATGTGCACACATTTTTCTAGCAGCCGAAAATCACACCTCAAAATACAAAATACCCTGTATAGGATCAAATCAACTTCACTTGTCGACTACGGCGACGGACACAAAAATAGATACGGTCTAGATTATTATCAGCGGGCATACAACAACCGTCACGGTCGAAGTGCCGGCATCACGGCATATCGTCACCACTCCCAGTGCCTGAGGCAGTGCTGTGCTACGAGGCTCAGATTAGCATAGAAATACACAAATGCATAAATGAGAAAATAATAAAATAAACTCACCCACTTGAAAACCCTAACGAAGTTTTCAAAGAGCTGTCCCGAAAACAATCCGTGGTAAAATGTTTGGCGCAAACCACCGCCGACTCGCCAGGGTCTACGCGGTCCCAGTCTGCTCTTTTTGTTCTCACAAATTTCACCCATTGCCGACGAAATCTTCCAAATTTTGGGAAATTATGAAGCGACACGCCATCCTTATGGGTGGCATTGCAGCCATATACGACGCACCTTTTTACCATAGTCTACCAATATTTTTGAAGGCTAGTTCTATGAAATTAAACCTAGCAGACAACATGCAACATTGAACACCGGGGAGTTCTCCTTATGACGTCATAATTCCGAAGTTTCCCGAAGCCATGTTTACAAATACGTGTTGACAAATTATGTCTTTATGAGACACATATTTGCGTAATGTAGGACCGTATATAAGGTGGAAAATAAAAATAAAATCATGGAATAATGTCTGGAGCCGATTTATTGTCAAATTAAAACATGCACATGTACTTGCAATTTACAC